CACTGATATCCCCTTTGTGTGGCGTTTCTATTTAGTTTATTTTATGGAAAATACTTCTTTTTCCTGGTAGTCCAAAAGTGTTTTTAATTATCCTAAAAATAGTGACTGTGCTTCAGAGTTGATAGTTCCAGGTCCTAGAGTAAACAGTGGGAAGTATCAGTATACTGATTCAGGTCTTCTTGTATTAAAAAAACGTTTTCTTTAATAATGTGTACAGTAGTCCATTGTATTTGATTTTCCTCTCCTGGGAATCTCACTGTACATCCATTGGATCCTTATTGCATGCTTTCTTTCTTTTAAAAAATCAATTTCTCTTTGATTCCTTTTAAATATATTTTTATTTCCATTTTATTTTCCTGATTTTAATTCCGGGTCAAGATTCGGTGTCTCCAGCTGTTACTTCGTTTTTATCTTCATCTCCTTTGGACAATGCTGGCTTTGGTCTTCACCGTTTTGATGGTATTTGCCTGATTCTTTTGTCTCATTTATTTCCTGAATTTGATCAGTTCCTGTTGTGCTTATTGCTCTTTTCTTGACTTGATTCTTCCTGGCTGTGGTCTTCTTTTTATCTGAAGTTACAGGAACGTTTGTTGCTGATGTTCGTACTGTTTCTGCTACGGAAGTTGAAGGTTTCATCCATCACATAAACCTAGGACTTACTCATTAAACTGAGGCCTGCAGGGTGAGTAGGAGCATGTGGAGGTTAGAGGGACAGAGCACCGTAAAAAGGCAGACAGATATCAGAGAATTGATTGTCTTCTGGTTAATATACATTGTTCAGGATTCTGGAGGCATAAAATGTGAGGTAGGAAATAGTGGAAGATGCAGATGAACAATTAAGACAGTGAGAGGGGCATAAAGTTAGGTTTATGCATACAGAGGAGCCGATGTTTTACATCCCAGAACCAACACCCAGCACCAAACCCACTGCCCTCAAGCCGTATCCAAGTCATCAGGACCATGCAAGACAGGGTAGAACTGTTCCTGTGGAATTCCAGGACTATAAGTCTTTATAAGAGCAAATAGCATCACCCTTTCTCCCCATGGAATGCTGGTGGGTTTGAACTGCCAACCTTGTGGTTAGCAGCTCAACATTTAACCCATTAACCCACCAGCACTCCTTACATTTAGGGAACCCATAAAAACACAACACTTGTCTAAATAAATGAATGACATCTTAAGACATGTGGGTCATATATTCCTAACATTTTTTACAAAGACAAAATTTATAGAAAATGGCAGCACTGGAGACACAGTGTGGGAATTGTTCCCAATCTGACCCCACCCACACTGGGTCGAAGCACTAAGGGCATGCAACAGAATAGCAAGGGGAGCAAAGCAATGAAGTCCTGAGGAATACCTAAAACAGACTTTGGGGGCCAGGGTATGACACCCCATCAGACTCGACTAGAAAACACTCATAAAGGTCAAGAGACAGACCTGGAACTATTTATAGGCTTTTTTGTTGTTTTGTTTTTGTGTTTATTATTGTTTTTACCTTTCTATCTAGACAAGATAGGAGGGATAAACAACCCGGAGGAGAAAACAATAGGGCCAATGGTTCTGGGGGGACATGGGAGAGAGGGAGGCAGGGGAAAGGAAAGGGGGTGCCAACACACCCAGGGATAAGGGAATGACAAAGGATCTAAAATTGATGGTGAAGAGGGCGTAGGATGCCTGGTGGGGCTTGATCAAGTGCAATGTAGCTGAGAGGAGTTACTGAAACCCAAATGAAGGTCGAACATGATCATGGGACAAGAGGAAAGTAAACAGAAATAGATGAAAGAACTAGGAGCCAGCCAAAGGACATTTATAGAGGTCTAAATACCAGCATGTACCTATGTAAATATATTTATATAATGATAGGGAAATAGATCTATGACATATATGTATGTAAAGTATTAAGGTAGCAGACGGACATTGGGCTTCTACTCAAGTACTCCCTCAGTGCATGAACACTTTGTTCTAATATCCCAGCATTCTGTGGTGCTCACCTTCCCGACCTGATTGCTGAAGACAAAGCAGGTGCATAAGCAAATGTGGTGAAGAAAGCTGATGGTGCCTGGCTATCAAAAGATATAGCATCTCAGGTCTTACAGGCCTGAAGATAAACAAGCAGCCATCTAGCTGAGAAGCAACAAAGCCCACATGGAAGAAGCACACCAGCTTCTGTGATCATGAGGTATTGATGGGATCAGGTATCAGGCATCTAAGCCCCAAAATGAAAAAAATCATATCAGTGTGAATGAGGGGGAGTGCAGAGTGGAGACCCAAAGCCCATCTGTAGACAATTGGACACCCCCTTACAGAAGGGTCACAAGGAAGAGACGAGTCAGTTAGGGTGCAGTATAGCACCGATGAAACATACAACTTTCCTCTAATTCTTTAATGCTTCTTCCTCCCAACTATCATGACCCCAGTTCTACCTTACAAATCTGGCTAGACCAGAGCACGCACACGTACAGATCAGAGCTCAAAACACAGGGAATCTAGAACAGATAAACCCCTCAGGACCAGTAATGAGAGTAGGAATACCAGGAGGGTAAGGGAAGGTAGGGGGAGCAAGGGGAAGCTGATCATAATGATCGACATATAACCCCCTCCTAGGGGGACAAGCAATAGGGAGACAGCATGCGGTGTAAGACATGAAAAAAACAATAATCTATAAATTATCAAGGGTTCATGATGGAGGGAGGGAAAATGAGCAGACACCAAGAAAATGTTTTGAGAATGATGATGGCAACATATGTACAGATGTGCTCGACACAATGGATGGATGCAAGGATTGTGATAAGAGCTGGAAGAGCCCCAATAAAATGATTTAACAAAGAGAGAGAGAGAAAGAAAATTGCAGCAACGAAAAAAACTCTCCAATGAAGAAATGGACTGAGGAGATGGATAGATACTTCACCCAAGAAGGCATTTGGGCGGCCGACAAACATGAAGAAATGCTCACCATCATCAGCCACTAGGGAAATCAAATCAAAGCGACAGTGAGCTACCATCTCCTTCCAGTATTCACAGCAAAGTTACAAAAACCGAACCATCACATATGCCAGTAAGTGTGTGGGGAGATCGGAACTGCCATACATGGCTGGCGACACTTGGAAGTGGCACAGTCACCATGCACACTGAGACGGTGCGTCTTTAAATGACTGGAAACGGAAATGTCACTACGCCTGCCATCTACCGAATAGGTGTGTGTCCTAGAGAAATAAGAGCTGTGACACACACAGATGGAAGGTCAGGGGGACAGGGCCTTCTAAAAGTTTGTGGGAAAATGAGATTATCTCTAATTCCATTTTTCCAGTAGCCTTTGGAAGCGCCTCTCTTCTAGTGATGTCATAGCAGCTTCGTTCACAACAGTAAACGGGAACGCTGCAAGTGCCCCTCTACAGGTGAAGGAGAAAACCAGGCCTGGCTCCGACACGCAGGGGAAGACTACCTAACACTGAAGAAGAGCAACAGATCTTTGGAACGCCTCGGCACATGGAGGAACCTAGAGGAACTTTAGGGATATTGACTTAATCTCCAAGAGACGGATATTGCAAGAGGCCACGACTGTCAAAAAGTCCAGAGAGGGCTAACACAAGGTCAGAAGCCACCCTTTGAGGGTCTCTTACCAGGATTAGGAGGGGAAAGGGGAGTAAGTCACCAGCGAGAGGGTGACAGAAAAGACAATGTACGATAAGGGGGGGGGGGGGACAGCACAAAATGATCAAGACGAAGGCAGTCACTGGGAGGAGCACATGTGTTCAGGGCAGCAAAGGTAACCACTGCTGCACGCACCATCCTGCAGTCACGAGTGCATTTGTACGTAGATGCACATGCCGAACGGGTAATGAAGATAAGTGGTGCTAGACCCATAAATATGTGTAGATTTTATTGGTGATCTTACTACATACTAGAGGACTTCACAAGTTCATGAAAAAACTGCATTACCGTTTAACTCCATTTTCCCCTGAACTGCATTACCTTTTAACTCCATTTCCCCCTGCATTACCTTTTAACTCCATTTAACTCCATTTTGGAATTATTGACTATGCTGCCAATATATCCACAAATATAGTACAACAATCAGGGACAAAGTTATGAAAATGCCTTTGGCATAACCAGACACTGGAACACATTGCTAGGCCTAGGGGCTCGACTGTAGGGACCACCAGGGTCCACTGGCATAAGGCAGTTCACAAAGACAATGTTCTGCATCCTACTTTGATGAGTAGCAGTGGGGATCTTCAAAGCTTGTGAGCAGTCAGCCAAGGCACAACTATTGTTTTTTCTCCATCTGGAACAAAGCAGAGTTAAGAGAAAGGCCCCAAGAAGCAGTCCGAATGACTAATGTGCCAGGTGAAGCCCAGCATCCACCCCGCTCACAGCAGAAGGACTAGGGAGTAACTCGTTACCATTGCTGGCCACTCTGAAAGGGCTCATGCTAGGAGGTGTCTTGGGTGGAGCAGGAAAAGCGTGAGACAAAACCCAGAGTCTTCCTTGTCTCATAGACTGGAGGCTCTGGACTGTTAGACACCCTTCAAACCTGTGACTGAACTTGAACCCACGACTCCACTTTCAGCCAAATGATAGGTCTGTAAGGTGAACAGTAGCACCAGGGAGGTATGTACTCCTTGGAAAATAATCCCCAATAAGAGATGAAAGGGGCAGCACTTGCCAAAGGATAAGGCTCAGAAGTCAGGAAGGGATAAACAAGAAAGACTGATGGGAACAGCAAGCCCAAGGAGGAAATGGAAAAAGAGTGCCCTTACTTCATGGGGTTGCAACCAATGTCCCAGAACAGTGTGTGTGATTGTGGACTCAAAACCATTTTGTTCTGTAAACTCGCACCAAGTCACAATACAAAGTTAAGTGCATAAATAAAAAAGAATCAACTGGCTATTTATGAGTATAAAAAGGGAAAATGGCCGTGTATAACAGTTTAATTTTATATTTTATCCAGCAATCATTTAGAATTAATAAAACCTGTCTTATTTTTTAAATTTCAGATAGAAAATCCACGGTATCTGAGACAGAAGCCTGTCCCAGTTGCTCTGGTAGGTGAGACACATTCACTTGACTTTTTTTTATAGGGACGGGTATTTAAAAAAAAAATCAGGAAGTCTTGACAGAAAATAAGATAGACTCATATGATGAAGCCTAATAGTTGTTTGAAAACTAACCACCTGGACGTGAACAGTTCCCTTTCTCTACAGTGTCCCTCCCTTTTGGCATGGGCTTTGAGATTTTCACTTTGGGCTGAGGCTCGAGGAGTCTTGCAAAGGCATTAAAGGGTTGTTCATTTTATTCAACAGATGAGCCCCAAATTCAGCTTGAGAAAATCCAGCAGTTTTCACGAAGACCCTTTACTCTCTCGAATGCATGAGAAAGAGGTAGGACCACGATGTTTCTGCTGTATATAATTGTTAACACAATGCTTAACCTTTTTTGTATAACGTGAGGTTTCCGGTCCTCGTAAAATTAATAATGAAAGAAAGCCAGTTTTTTTCTATTTTTTACCATCTCTCTTCCATCTTGTATGTCCCAACTTTATTCTCACTAGACAGGGGACAAAGATACAGCATCTGTTTTTTCATTAAAGGCTTAATTTTCCCCCTTTCGATCAACTTATTTGCAATCTAATCTTTCTAGTGCCACGATTGTTATTATCTGTTGGTCTTCGTATTTAAACGGATTTGCTAAACCAAACTTAGTAACATAACCAAGTACTATCTTTGGCCACTAGAAAATAGAAGGACTAAATAGGCTGTGCTTCCAGGTTACGCATAAGGCTTCCAGGGGCTTCTTCCTCCGAAGCGGGGAGCCAAGTGCTTCTTTGTTGTCTGTTCTTGGTCTGGGAGCTCTGCTGAAACCTGTTCACGTTGTGTGACCATGCTGGCACTGGAAAAACCAGTGATATAGCTTCCAGCATCCCAGCAACCCACAAGCCACCACAGACTGACAGACAAGTGGTGGAGAGACGAGTCCGGAGAAGGACGTCATGGTTGGGAAAGTGGAAGGGCAGCAAAAAAAAGAGGAAAGCTCTGAAGGAGATAGGCTGGCACACTGGCTACGTCAATGGGTTCGGGCATAGGAACAATTGTGAGGCTGGTGCAGGACCGTGCAGCATTTGGTTCTGTTGTGCATCAGGTCATGGGTCAAAGCCGACTTGATGGCGCCTAACAACAACAACAAAAACAGCAAAGAGGCTGTGTTGTTTATAGGTGAAGGCTGTAAGCTGTGGTGTCACAAATGAAAACCTAAACCAAACCCATTGCTGACAGGTTGGACCCAGCTCACAGTCACCCTAGAGAACAGTGTAGAACTGCCCTGTGTGGTTCTCAAGACCCAGAGCAGACTGCCACATCGTTCACTGTTGGTGCATCTTGTGCATTTGAACTGCTAACTTAGCCACTTGCCCTCAGGGCTCCATGGAGTCAGGAAATCTCTCTCCCTCTCTTTCACTGCCATTGACTGAGTCTGTGGCAACTCGTAGGGACTCTATATAGGGCAGAGTTGAACTGCCCCTGTGGGTTTCTCTCTTTACAGGAGTTGAAAGCCCCGTCTTTCTTCTATGGAGCAGCTGGTTGGTTCCGACTGCTGACCTTGTAGTTAGCAGAGTAACCACTGTGCCACCAGGACTCCAGACTTGAAGTCAGGAATGCCAGAGTTTACATCTGGATTGCTTTACATAATAGCTGTGTAAAAATGGCCACATACCGTATATACTCGAGTAGAAGTCGACCTGAATATCAGCCAAGGCACCTAATTGTACCACAAAAACTGCATTAAAAATGTGCTGAAAAACTAGGCTTACACACGAGTATATATGGTAATTAACCTTTCTGAGCTTCAATTTCCTCATTTAAATGCAAGCATGCTTGCTTTACAGGATCATAATAAGGATTTTTGTAGTCTATAAACATGCCTTTGACTCTGTGGGGATTCATTAGTCAAATGATAATTTGCTTTAAATTTTGAATTGTACTGGTAAGTTTAAAAATCATTATTATTATTATTATTTTGCTTTTGACATTGATGAAACACTGTGGTTATCCATGTGATGTGATCGAAAATGATTACATTAGAAATCTAAAAATGAAAACTGTGTTCTTAATTTTGCCATTTGTTACTATCTGTTTAAATGGATCTGCTAAATCAGGTTATACTATTGCTAATCAATAACATACCCTTCTTTTGCCATTCTAAAGTAGAATTATCAAAGAGAGAGTAGTGGTCACGCATTGGGCCGCGACCTGCCACGTCTACAGCTGGAAACCACCGGCTGCGCCTTGGGAGAAAGATGGGCCTTTCGACTCCCTTAAAGAGTGACCGTGTCAGAAACTCACCAGGCAGTTCTTCCCTGTTCCATAGTGATGGTTGGCATCAACTCTATGGCAGTGAATTTCGTTTTGGTTTTATTATTTATTGGTTAAAATCATGGGCTATGGAGTTAGGAGTAGGGGGGAAAAACACCATAGAAAGAAACTAAAGTGAAGAAAATATTCAAATCTTGAGTTCCAACACTGAAGTTTTCTGTGGCCAAAATAGTGAATGATGCAGGAAGCGTGAAAAAGAAGATGGGAGGAATACACTGGGTCACTGTCATAAACGAGACTTGGCTGACTTCCAGCCATTTCCAGAGCGAGCACAGGACCAAGAACTGAGGGACCAAGAAAGAAGTTCAAATTGCACGAAGACATTAGTGAAACAAGGGCCCAGGATTTGACAGTACCCATCGAAAAGTTTCAACAAGAGGATGCATGTTGGAATCCCTAACTTATCTTTGCCAAGAAATTTAGAAGACATCTACCTGGCCTACTGGCTGGAAGAGATTCATTGTCCATGCCTATTCCAAAGGCAGCTGACCCAGCCGAATGTGGCCCTTATTGGATCATATGATTAGTGTCATATGCAAGTAAAATGTTGCCACAGACAAAGCCAGTCATAGCCTTACTCCTTCCTATAGACTTGCCAGGAAATCTGGGGTCGGAAAAGCACGTGGAATGGAGGATTTCATTGCTGACATCAAATGGATTTTGGCTTCAAGTAGAGAATACCAAAAAGGTGTTTACTTGTGTTTTATTGACTACTATGCAAAAGCATTCAGCTGTCTGAATTAGAAGAAAATATGGATATTATTGCTAAGAATGGGGATTCCACAACACTAACTGTGCCCATGCAGACCCTGTACATACCCGAGGCAATGGTTGAAAGAATAAATGGATAGTGTATGGTTTAAAATCAGGGAAGGTGTGCATCAGGGTTGTATCCTTTTCCCATACAAACGCAATCCGTGTGCTGAGCAGATAAAATAATCCAAGAGGCTGAAATGCATGAAGAAGAGCTCAGAGTCAGAATCAGAGGAAGGCTTATTAACAACCTGCAATATTCAGGTTGCTTGTTGAAATTGCTTGTAGAAAGTGAAGAGGATTTGGAGTCCCTACTGATGAAGATCAAAGACGATAGCCTTCAGTATATATTATACCTCAATGTAAAGAAAATCCAAATCCTCACAACTGGACCAATTGACAGCATCATGACAAAATAGAGAAAAGATTGAAATTGTTATGGGTTTCATGTTTCATGTTGTGGGTTCATGGATCTATGGTCAATGTCTATTGAAGCAGCAGTGAAGAAATCAAATGATGTTTGGCATTGGCCAAAACTGCTGCAAAAGACCTCTTTAAAATCTCAAAGAGCAAAGATGTTACTTTGAGGACTAAGGTGCACCTGGGCCACACCATGGTATTTTCAGTCACCTTATACACACACAAACACTGGACAATGAATACTGAAGACTGCAGAACAATTTGTGTATTTGGATTATGCTGTTGGCAAAGAATAGTGGAAGTATCTTGGATGGCCAGTGGAACAAACACATCTGTCTTGGAAGAAGTACAACCAGAATGCTTAGCAGTAAGACTGGTCGGATTTTGTCTCACTGTGGACACGTTATTAGGAGGGCGAGCCACTGGAGAAGGACATCATTCTTGGTAAGTAGAGGGTCAGTGAAAAGGAAGAAATACTCCTCCGTCGAATGCGTGGACACAGTGCCTACAGTGGGCTCAGACATCACAATTCTGAGGGTGGCTCAGGACTGGGCCCTTATTCTGTTCGGTTGTACATGGCATTGCTCTTAGTCGCAGCTGACTTGACGACACCTACCACCACCACTACCACCACCTCCACCTCCACCA